TGATCAACTTACATGCGCAGTGATTTACTTTCGGTTTATAAATATATGTATGTTATCGTATCTACATACATGTATAGCTAGCCGGCGTGGTATTTAACTCTACAAGAGCTTCGTTTTTTTTAACTAAACATCGACACGGATAATTTCTTTCTTTGTGTACAGCATAATATATTGGCTGACTTTAAGTTACATTTAGAGAGGACTTAATTGAGGTGAATGAGTATTGCAATAAGTAGAAGTGAGGCGAGGCCCGTGAGGCGAACCATTATACTACAGGAATGTGACTGACATGTGATCATTATCTATTTTTCTCTAATTTTATATAAATTTTACCGATTAGTGGTCATTTAATATCCTTCTATCCTTAATAGTGATGGAATATTATTGGTAAATGACCATTATCCTTTTAGTCCTAATATTACAAGAATCTTGTATTGATTGCATCATAACTGTATTGTGTGTTCTAGATACCTCAATATATATAACTTATGAACTAAAAACAGTTAAGAAATATTGTGTTTCTACTGCTTCAGTAGCTTTTATATTTATTCTAGGGATATAAAGGTAAATTTCTCAAAACATAATAGAATGAGAGCAAATTGCCGTGGGTACAGTATTTTGATGCTGATCATGTTACTGACCCCTACCATGGCCAGGTTTCTGATCCTGAGGACTGCAATGACATTATTCGTGAATTCTGCTACCAGACATCCACTACGTACTCTGTGACAAGATGTACGAAGAATTTTGGACATTTTAGTCTTGGTAAGTCATTCAAGTAGAAATGATAGGAATATTGAGGACTGTGATAAATTTCTGATATTCTGAGGACAGAAGTGTACACCATTTCAAGACAAACATGTAACATCAGGAGTACATTCCCAATTTTAGGTATAGTCCTTAGTCTACATGTGCACTTGTGATTCGATCAACAAACAAATTTTCTGACAGGATCAGGGTTTGTATACATGAAGTTTCTGTTATGAAGTGTATTTAAGGTTTGTAGTCTGAGAATTTTAATGTGACAAAGATATCTTTTTAATACATATATAATTTGTTGTCTTGACACACATACACATTTAGTAAGTACAATATTTATCTACTAATATGTATTTGTACCAACTCATCAGAGAACTTCTGCTTAAGGAAGTTAAATCATGCAGTTAAACAATAGTGAAGTAACAGTTTGGTGTATATATATGTATTTTGTAATGTATATTTACTGTCTGCAGAACTTAATGGAGTTGAAGACCATTTTGTTCGATTCAAAGATGAAGGAAAGGTTGCCCACCAGTGTGACATTCCATCAAATGGTGCACCTTTTATGATAGTGGGCCTAAAACTGATGGAATGTCATCAAGGCCCTCAGCACAGGACCAAAAAAACAAAAGTAAGACATTTTCTATTACAAGCAAATCAATATCAATTTCATTATGTTGGATTAGTTTATATTATACATTTTTTAACAAACAATTAAATAAAGTAATGTAAGAACAATCATGTGGAGGTTAGACTTATTTAAGGGTCAGAGTATAACCTCATTGATGACATACTTTTTTAGGACACCAATCAAAGCCAGGTGGGAGAACATGGCTATAGCTTGCTGTCAAGCAGGAAGAGGCTGACAGGTACAAAAAAAAAAGGATGTCCTGCGGCTATAGTAATGAGGGAAGTCATTCATTTCGACCAGTACAAGGTATCAAATTGTCTTTAACAGTTCTGGTAGTTGTCAGTAAAAGTGAAGAAAATCAAAAATTAATCACCATCAAAACTTTAATTAAAAAAAAAATGTGGTAAGGATACATATTTCAATTACCGGGTATCAATGCAATTCATTTGTGATTTTTTTTACATTGCCAACATTTTTCCTAAATTCCAATATTTCTGTCTAACCTAATACATCTTACATACTAATATCTAGTAATACCAATACATATTTGTAGCACTGACATGATCCCCAGTCATTTTGTCAAAAATAGATAATGTCATTGAATAATATCTACTTTTTGATGTTGAGTATACATTTTGATCCATTCAATTTTGCTAGGTTCCACAGGATACAAGGTACTGGCGTGAAGGTATGTCAACAAAACTGAGAAATGACCTTCATTCATCCTGCTATGAGCAGGTTGAACAACGCAAAGTCATATATATAGATCTCCCAAAGGAACACAAAAATCACATCCTGGGAATGGTAAGTATCAAGTATAGGCCATATATATGTGTTATATATTCTTGTAAAAAGCTAACAATCATACTTGTAATTTATATTAATCATTTTTGAAAATGCAATTACAAAAGAAATAGAATATTCTCTTTGGATAATTCAATCATATGTACATTTCTATATAAAATGCAATATATCAATGATTAAACAAAAAATATTCTATAAGTTATCATCTAAATATTAAAACAGATCTACTGTACTCTCTCCCATCATTGTCTGGTTCTATCTGTTGTCATTTCAATATTACAACAGATACAACCAGATCTACATTCTCTCACATAATTGTCTGGTTCTATCTGTTGTCATTTCAATATTACAACAGATACCACCAGATCTGTTGTCATCTACACTCTCTCACACATCATTGTCTGGTTCTATCTGTTGTCATTTTAATATTACAACAGATACAACCAGATCTACACTCTCTCACATCATTGTCTGGTTCTATCTGTTGTCATTTTAATATTACAACAGATACCACCAGATCTTCACTCTCACACATCATTGTCTGGTTCTATCTGTTGTCATTTCAATATTACAACAGATACCACCAGATCTTCACTCTCACACATCATTGTCTGGTTCTATCTGTTGTCATTTCAATATTGCAACAGATACCACCCACTCTCTCACATCATTGTCATCCTCTCACATCATTGTCTGGTTCTATCTGTTGTCATTTTAATATTACAACAGATACAACCAGATCTTCTCTCACATCATTGTCTGGTTCTATCTCTCACTACATCTCTGGTTCTATCTGTTGTCATCAACAGATCATTGTCTTTCTATCTGTTGTCATTTCAATATTACAACAGATACCACCATATCTATCTCACACATCTCTGGTTCACATCAATATTACAACAGATACCACCATATCTACACTCTCTCACACCTTTATCTGGTTCTATCTGTTGTCATTTCAATATTACAACAGATACCACCATATCTTCACTCTCACACATCATTGTCTGGTTCTATCTGTTGTCATTTCAATATTACAACAGATACAACCAGATCTTCACTCTCTCACATCATTGTCTGGTTCTATCTGTTGTCATTTTAATATTACAACAGATACCACCAGATCTTCACTCTCACACATCATTGTCTGGTTCTATCTGTTGTCATTTCAATATTACAACAGATACCACCTACACTCTCTCACATCATTGTCTGGTTCTCTGTTCTCATTGCACACTCTCTCACATCATTGTCTCGTTCTATCTGTTGTCATTTTAATATTACAACAGATATCTGTCTGTCATTTTGTCAATATTACAACAGATACAACCAGATCTACACTCTCACATCATTGTCTGGTTCTATCTGTTGTCATTTCAATATTACAACAGATACCACCAGATCTACACTATCTTACATCATTGTCCGGTTCTATCTGTTGTCATTTCAATATTACAACAGGTACTACCAGATATACACTCTCTCACATCATTCGCTGTCCGTTCTATCTGGCTTTCATACTTGATATCACTGTTCCTTGTGACAAAACCTTTCCGTTAGTACATTTTATAACGATTTTTGATTATGTGAGACAAAAGCAGCCAGCGGGGCCCTTCCTGACTTTGGTAGTTTGCTAGTATAGTTATTGTTATGTCATGTGATGTACTTTGTCCTCTTGTAGGCTGCTGATTTAAAATCCCCAATTGATGAAAGAGTTCTGAAGAAAATTTGTAAGCTTGTAGATGAAGGGGTCTATAATCCAAAAGAAATGCATCGACACCTTAAGATCTACATAAAAGATCTCTTCAAAGACCGAGAGTTGCCCAGAGTCACAAATCGGCGATTTTATCCAAGCAAAGATGACCTCAGAAAAATTATATATCGGCAGAGGCGCAAAACATTGCACAGCCTGATTGACCAGGAAGACCTGGAAGAGAAAATACGTGTGTGGCAAGAGGAGCGTCCAGATGACATGTGGACTTTCCGAAAGTCATCATTTGTGAAGCGTCCTGTCATTGAAGATGACTTTGAAGAGGATGGTGGCTGCTTTGTTGTAAATGAAGATCAGTCTTTCCTAGTCATTTACCAGTCTTCCTGGCAGAGAAGATTGCTTTCACGGTATGGAAAGGAGCTTGTGTATCTGGATGCCACATACAGAACCACAAAGTATGCATTGCCATTGTTTTTTCTGTGTGTTCAGACAAATGATGGCTTCTGTGTTGTTGGTGCTTTCATCACAGAAAGAGAAGACTCCATCTCAGTAGCAGAAGCTTTACAAGTCATCAAGGATAACAATCCAAACTGGACCTGTAAAGGTTTCATGATAGATTCCTCTGAGGTAGAAGCAAATGCCATTCAGAATGTTTTCCCAGGTCAGTTTTATGTTTATCTTAGGTGTGAACATTCATGTGACCTAACTTTTTCCATATTGTGCCTGTATGTCAGGCAGGAATATAATAAAAAAGAGTTGTTTTTTTCTTAACAAAAAAACATGTCCTGTAAGACTTAGATTGCTTTCATAGACATTGTAAGTGGCAACTGGAATAATAAAGAAGCTGCAGGAAGATCCTGTTGCATGTAGTCTTAAATAACAGAAATAAATTTAAAGCTGAAATGTAACATTATTATCTTTAATATGTTAACAGGTTCAAACATCTTCATATGCGACTTTCATAGAAAACAAGCCTGGCACAGATGGTTGGTTGCCTCAAAGCATGATGTGACAAGTCAAGATCAAACTTCAGAGTTATTAAATGTAAGTTTATGCCTGAATAGATCAGCAATTAATTCAACATGTAAATATCATGTACACATATCTAATTTAGGACAGAGCTTAGGGTTTATTAACAAATGTTGATTTGAGAGAAAATTTTATGTTTTAGTCAGTGGCAGAGTCATTTACTGAAGCTGATTTCAACAAGAATTTGAAGAACCTTCATGACAGTGAAATATGGAAGAGTCAGCCAAAGCTTCGTCAATATATCAATGGGCAATGGCTAGCCAATGATAAACACAAGGTAATATTAATTAATAAAAGATCGAAGCACAGCAATATAATTTTGTATACATTGTAGTAAATAAGGGATACTTATACTATTCATTACCTCTGTAGCTAGGCAGTGTAGACCAATGATATACTGTAAACAAACATTTTCGTGTGCGATTTATTTTCGCTAATTTCCCGTTGAATGAAAATTTGCAAAAATTAATTGCTGTGAAATAGTTTCAATATGACAGGTATTTACCGAAGCCAATACGCTTGAGTGATTTTAACTTGGACGGTCACAAAATTAAATTGGCCCAATTAGACTTTGAAAACGCGAAATGAAGTTGCCACGAGTATTTGGTACGGAAGGACAAGTTAAGGAGTTTGTAACTTGATCTGCTCCGAAAAGAGTTTGACTATTATGATTACTGTATATCATAAGAAGCCTAAGACTGTGAATTATAGCGATAACAGTAACTCCAGATGCTGTTTTTGATTTACCTGTCTTTCCATACTTTCATACATCCAAGTAGAAGCCTTCTGCTTGAGACATTTCTTGATTATCATGACAAATTCCACAGATCACATGATTTTTAGCTGATCTTTGATTAATAATCCTCAACATGAGTAGATACATGCCAGTTTTGAAATATTTTTAGTTTATTCTAATTTCCTCTGTTTTAAAGATGTGGGTGTGGGCCTATAGAGGAGATGGTCTCACTCTGGTTGTAAACACCAACAATGGTGTTGAAGCACAGAACAAGGTGTTTAAGTATGAATACCTTGCATCACTACCCATGAAGACTGTGTCCAGTCTGATGACCCTCCTTGTAGACGATTTTTTCGTGGATTCATATCGAAAGTAAGTCACGATGTGGTTTTGATATGTGTTGTCAACCAGATACTGGCCATAGTGTTGACCTGTGTAACTTGTTAAAAAAATAATTACCCATATTTTCAGACTTTCAGAAAGAATTTGAAAGAATTAAGATAATTTTTTGGACTTAAGCTTTTGTAATAACAGTGTTCAAACATAACATGGAACATTATACAAATGCATACAAATGTGATAACTATGCAGTAAACCCTTTAAAATACCTTGTCACCCCTGAAGGGCAATAATTAGATACTACATGACTCTAGGTTGGCAGCACTGCATGTATGTCTCTTCATAAATAAAACATGGCATATATTTTACATTTAATTCAAAGCTTTTCAGGGATTCTTGGAGCGAGAAAAAAAATAAATGAAAACATGATAAGCAGATTAAAAAAAAACAAGTACTGTTTGATTTGTGTAGCTCTTTTGAATGAAGTCACTTTGCTATCTGCTTAATTAGTTTTTGAATTAGTATAATATAATAAGGAATATTTAATGCTTTCTTCACATACCGATATAAATGTTTGAAATTTCAGTATTTTTCAATGTTTTGGTAAGTAATACTAGTATTTTGTAAAAACTGTGTGCCTTGGTGTCAGCTTTGCTTGGTGTCTGGTGTGATTCATCTCTATTCACATTTTCCCATTTCCTCACTCATCACTTTATATTTCAGTTCTGCAATAGAGTGCTGCATATCCCAATTTCTTAGGTGTCAAAGCTGTGAACCTCATTCATCCCTTAAACATACGGCATGGTTGTGAGTGTATGTGTATTGCCAAAGAACCAAACCAAAATCCACTGACATGCATCTCGTATAGTTTGAATATGCGGCACTCTACTGAATAATTCATTTTAACAGTATTTCTGATCACCATTTATCTACCCCATCAACTCACCAAACATCTGTATAATATCACTCTTTTTACTTCCATTCAACACTTTAAGTACAGTTTCTCTCAGACTAGTAATTCTTTTTAAGCTGAAATGGTTATGGGTTTTTGTTATAATAATCCAAAGGAAGGAAAGCAAGTGAATATAAAAAAATCAGTGTTGAATATAACTCTTAAAATGAACCCCCTAAAGGAAACCTGCAGATTGAGAATTTACTTGTTATTTGTGTTTGGTGTTGTATATGTATTAATCCACCATCCAATGTCAAATATGACCAAAATCATGTGTTATGCACTAATAATCAGAAATGTCCTATTTGATGTTATTACTGCTGTTACATGAATTGAAGATTGTTTGTTACAGTGTGCTTGCCTTGTTATTTAACTGTTACTGCCAATCATTCTGTTTGTAAACTTGTAGGATTTTTTAACTAGAGATTAACCAATAATACCTATTGCTTAATAAAATAAGGTAACAAAAGCAATTAATGAAATGATTCATTGAAGTACAAGCATATTCTGCTTACTATTTCTTAAGCCAAATTACCGGCGGGTAATGACGTTTTGGTTGAATTACTCAGACAAGTATGTAAATACGATGCGCTGACATGGTAAGTCTGTTAACCTAATGATGCTCCACACCAAAGACAAGTGAGATTAATGACATATGGTATAGAATTTCATAGACATGTCACTCCTGTTTATTTTATGATATAATATTGAACATTTTGCAGTGTATATTACACATAAAAGAATTAGGATAAAATGAGGATATAATTAGGATAAACTTTTCTCTCAATATCATCAATACCAGCATGCATTTTACATTCCGCAATCTTAGCTCCTACCATTGCTACGGTTTCAATTAATTTACCTGTAAATATTTTACCTTTTCCAGATATCTTCAGAGCAATGTTACCATGTCAGCTGGTTGGAGGGAGCCATCTGTCTCCATTCCAAAAGAGCTCCACCACCGACCCAGGTACTTTGTACAGCACATCAGGGATGCCACACAAAAGTGTGCAGACATCACTGCCAGCATGATCACCTCGGTGACAGATACAGAGTTTCTAGTGCAGTCAGCTAGCCATCAGTCACGTGTCTACAGAGTCAGTTTGGGTGGAGAATCCATTATGCCATCTTGTGAGTGCAGGGAATTTATGAAAACACATCTTCCTTGCAAACATTTCTGTGCTTTGATGTGCCATTTTGCAGGTGATATTACTTGGAACTCCTTGCCAGAATTCTACATAAACAACCCTCATTTCATCATTGATGAGGATTGTGTAAACCTGACAGAGTTCCAAGATACCCCTCAGGAATCCCAAGGAAATACCACACCAGCTCCATGCCAGGCTAGAGAGGACATAGAAGTCAAAGACCAGAAGCATCCTCATGGGCCTTCACTAGGGGAGTCTGCCAAGCGGGTCAGGGAGCTGCTGCAGTATATCCGTAACCTTTCCTACATCGCAGATTCTATGGAGGTGATGGAGGAAGTGAGGGAGCAGCTGTCAGCAATAGCTGATCAACTGAGACAGAAATGTCCAGCTAGTGGAACTTTGCTTTTGGAGCAGCCTGCACCAGCCAAGATCTTTACTAAAAAGAGAAAATTTCCCAACAACAAAGAGTCTTTGAAACAGTTACCAACTAGGGCCAAGAGAAGACGTACTACCAAACGTTAGTATAATGAACACTGATTTCAGGCAATACCTGTACTTTCATTTGCAAGAAGATATGCACTGATGATTTGTTACCATAACTGAGACTAGTAGTCTAAATAAATTTCTTTTTAGGTCATCTAACCATAAAGTTTAAGATGATATGCATCAGCTGTCATTGTGTGCCATTCTTTATGCACCAAACAGAATCTTTTCCCCTTCAAACAACTTCTTCTCAAGAACTGAAAGGTTAGAGTATTAATATTAGGCCTGTATTTCTGGACGAAGGGCTATATATTAAACGAAGTTAAATTTTTTCATATGAATGACCTTGAACTACTTCAAATTCACCAGGATGAAAAATGATGAAATCTGGCATGATGCATGCTGGGATGATAATCATCCATGGAGTATTTCATGTCATAGTGCAGTTTGAAGTTGGTTGTAAAGTTCCACAACAGGACTTAACCTGCAAAATCTTTAGGCCGATTGGCCTTCTTGTTTCAATTAGACAGTTTCTAAAAAAAAATGTACAGTGTCAATGTTTCGATCAAATGACCATTAACACCTTTGGGTCTCTTGTTGCAATTCAGATCAATCATATTAAAATTCCATAAAAGTCACTATTTGGCATGTATTACATAGGTTGGTGTTTTACAGGCCAGGTTGAATTCATTGAGCAATAGGGTGATTTGTTTTGTTACTTGACAGTCTTTGAAATTTAGATTTCAGTGATAATATAACAGTATTTAGACAGTTTAACAGCAGGAATGAAATCTGGTACTTAGCCAGCAGGTATTAGTTGTTGGTTGATTTTTTATTTTGTCCATTTTCAGACAAATATCAGACAGTATATGATGGTGAGTTATTGACATTTTAGAAAATCCTCAATGAGACAACTTTATGTAGATTAAGTGACTGAAATTTATCATTCAGTGTCTAGTTAGTGTCAACACAACACTCCAAACTTTCTTGAGAATGACAAAGATCTCAAATATGAAAAATGGAAGTTACTTACATATGCTCTCTTTTACAAAAAGGTGTTTAAGTAGAACTCATTTAGATGATGTATTTATTTAAGCTGATTGAATAAGGTTAAAGTTCTTGGTTGATTCTCAGTGTTTTAATTTCCTAATGCCAGTTCAGTACTAATCATGATGATGTAACAGACATTAAGTCGTTAAATTAACTGTAACCATTTTAAAACAATTTAAATAAATCGAAGTAAATTTTTAGTGTATTTATATATTGTTGAATTATTCTGATGTCACAGAAGGCATCAAAGATAATTTTAATTAAGAGAAATGGTAATGAGTCATGAATATTATTTATTTATTAACTTATCAATTTAGTTATAAAATAGTTTTTAGTATATTACAACATTTGAACATCAGCTTATATTGCAGATTCTGGTGCTCTGTTTCATTCAGTAAAGGAATCCATCAAAGATGAAGCTAAGCCTTTGGAAAAAAAACACAAAAGGAAAAAGACCAGTATGTATATAATCTCTCGTCACAAATTGTTGTCTGCTTACATATATTTTAATCTAATATCTGGTACTTGCAAAGGATTAAAGTATCTTGGGGGAGTCTGAGCTTCAGGACTGTCAAGTCAAGATCAAAGTCACCATATTACTATTTGTATTTTTTTAGAAAATCTTTGTTGGTACTATATCTATAGTGGCTTCATACCAAATGGGAACTGATAAAACCTCGATACAATAACTAGGAATTAGCATAACATCTTGCACAAGGTCGAGTTGCAGGGATGTTGGGCCAAGGTCAAGGTCACCATTACAATTTTTAGAGAATAAGCGGCCTCATTCTTCAAGTTGTGATTTTGATGAAAATTCCCTCAACATTAAAGGACTGTTATATCTCGGACAAGTTCAAGTTGGAGGAATGTCATGTAAAGGTCACCATTACTATGTTCAGAAATCTTTGTCGGCATGCACACTCTTAATAGCTTTATTCCTTTGGGGTTTTTATAAAACATTACACTATAACTGAAGACCATTATATCTCAGACAAGTTTCAAAAATGTTAGGTCTATGTCAAGGCCATTGTTACTATTTTTAGAATTTCTCCTAGATATTTTTTTAAAACATATATACCAGACACCACCAAGCTTTCTAGGTAGGTTTGGGACATGTAATGCTTCAGTAGGCTTGTCTTTGAGAGGATGATATTGAGATGATTCTGTGGTAAATCAGCATATGGTTGCAAAAAAACAAACAAAAACAAAAACAATCCATGAAATAAAAGTGTATGTATGAAGTACATTATACATGTATATATATATATTCTTGAATCCAGATGTTCAAGTTTCAATTCCTTAAAATCAAATTTTTGACCTGTGAAAAGAACCAGATACAAACTGTTCTTTCATTTTTTTTAAGGAAAGACATTTATCAGTGATGTAAGAGGATCTTCAGAAAATGTACAAAAAAGTACTTCAAGTATGTATGGTTATTGCATGCTGTCAATAGAGGCTCGATTGTTGATACAATTTGTTCCGTAATTGTTCTCAAGTGAGGTCTCTAGACTGATCATATCATTCTTTGTGTGTGCTTACAAATACCGTAAATGCTTTTGCATGAGTTCAGATTCTAGCTCACTTCAATCTATGATGAAGAAAAAGATGACCGTTATTGCAAACTTTCTTGTATAGTAGTGGTTGTTTTACACAGAATTACTAAAACAGGAAACTGGCAATGGTAATATTGTTATAAACATGACATACACTTAGCCCATGTCGTATACAGAACATTATATTTGTTAAATACCAAACATATTTTTATACATTTATGGCATTTACAATACATGAAATTTTTCTCTCAGTGAATTTGTTTTAGTGCATTTCGCTCAAATAGCATAGGGCTAAGATCGATTGCACTAATCCCTATTTCAGTGTCCTTCTAAAGCAGTACTTTATATTTGAGGTTATCGGCTGCATTTTGTCAATGCACAAAAAATTGAGTGCTCCAAAATAAATACATTTATTTCTGAAATTGATTAACACAGGGTACACCTACATTGGTATCCACTGAATTTGTATCGTGTGGTTTCAATTAAAAGGAATATTTTTATGTTGTTTTGTAGAATCTCCCAAGTACTCCACTTCCAGGTTTGAAGTTTTGGAAAGAATTCAAGGTTAGTAAGAGTACCAAACCAACTGTAACCTTTTTAGCAGGAACAGGTGTAGAGGATTGGAATTGCTATAAGCAATGTCCATCCATCTTTCCACTTTTCTATCTGTATGGGTTAATATTTATGAAGTAGTGTGTCACATACATCATTGTACCCAATGCAGGTCACTGTGATCTACATTTTCACCTTCATCTAAACATTTAGTTCAGCCCTATCCGGCGGGGGGCACTGTGATTTGCCAAATCATGTCATTTATTGTACATTTTCCCCCCTCACCTTGTTGATAACACCTTGAAACAGGTAGGTATTGCATTCCAACTGTGTACTGTTCTTCATGTGTTGTTTATCTGTTCAGTTATTATATTTCCTTCTTTATCAAGACTAATTTATGTTTTATGCAATATGAGGGAGTATGAATGTTTTAAAATTACCAGTAGTTTCTTGGAAATCATGCAGAAATATTGATAATGAATGAAAGCAAAATCCCTAAATTTGTTTTAAAGTGAAGTATCATCATCAGGAAATAAATAAAGAAGTAAAGCTGTGCTCCTGAATCCAAAGTTAAGAATGTATGATATTGTAACCACTGTTAAGTCTTAATGGTTGAAACTGCTTAATGATGTATAAATCAATTAGGACTGTTTAAACATAAGTGTTATGTTACATAATTTACACACAGTGTGTATATGTATAGTAGTGAACACTTTAAAGTTAAGAAGTAAGATAAAACTTATATCCCTTTTACCTATCTTCTCTGATTTTACTAAAACTTTTATGTATTTTTTCATCATGGTAACAAAATCCATATAACCTGATTACAAACAGCTATGACAAAGAAGATGTCAAAGGAAGACTGGATGGAATTGGTCCAGAAAGCAAAGGAGACATCTAGCTTTTCCTTTGACAACACTAGCAGGACAGCCCATGCTGTGTTGGATGAGTGCTGTGATGAAGAAGAGCAACACAGCCTCATTCAGGATATATCAGACCTGGCTCCAACAGAGTTAAACATGAATAGCAAATTACAGTTGTCTTACCTCCTGCTGTGTTTATTGGGTAGGTATAAAATTGATGTAACCAATAAGTATAGTTAACCAATGGTAATATAAGTTAAATGACTGATTTCAACTTTTGAGAATAATATTTGTAAGGGTGGAAGGTTTGGATAACTGTCCAGCTCTTAACACAGAAGGAAAGAAATCAAGTAATCAAGGTTGTTCTATACATTTCTTCATCTATGTAATTCAGGAAAAATACTTGTTTTATTTTTCCATTTTTTTTAGTCAAGCAAGGCAGATTTGACCTAAAGAGGGACCTAAAAAAAGAAACTGAGGAAGCAGCTGCCGCATTTCGAGAAATGATAGAAGCACTGAAAGCCATTGATAAATTACAATCAGGTGTTTTTAGTATGATAATATTAAAAAGGGCATTGTTATTAAGAATGATACAATATTTTGCTCATTTTGTATTTTTTCACCTTTTATGTACAAGCAAAGAAAACAAAGATGAAAAATGACAGAAATGACTACAAAAATGTACTTACTGAAATTATCAGGGCAATGTGTAATTGACAGTTAATTTTCATTTAGAGCTTGAATTTTGCTTCACAAATTCCTGAACCTCCATTTTTTTTATCAAATACTTTTAATTATAATAAATATTGTTAATTTTTCTACAACAGAAATCATTTTTAAAGATTTTGATATATTATAAGCTAATATTCCTTGGTATTTCAGTAACAATTTCTTTTTATACGCCCACCTGAAAGGTGGGGGTATATTGGCATCACTCCGTCCGTCCGTCCGTCGGTCCGTCGTCCCGTCAACATTTATCTTGTCTGCAGTTTTTCTCCAGAACCACTGAAGGGATAATAATGAAACTTCCCAATAATATATAAAGGATAAAGGTCTAGAGCCGAGTCGATTTTAAAACTCATCTGATCAGTAGTTGCGGAGTTACGGCCCTTTATCCTTTAAATACAGTAACATTCATCTTGTCCGCAGTTTTTCTCCAGAACCACTGAAGGGATATTAATGAAACTTCCCAATAATATATAAAGGATAAAGGTCTCGAGCCGAGTTGATTTTAAAGTTCATCTGATCAGTAGATGCGGAGTTATGGCCCTTGATCTTAAAGAACTTCTTTAAATACAGTAATACATTAGTCAAATGGCCATTACTTTAAGATATCATTGTCAAACAAGTATTCCTTTTGGTATGGAGTTTTAAGGGATCACCTATTCATCCATATTGGTTTTGTATTCAACGGACCATAATGAAGGCTTCTGATTGGTTGAAATTTCGATAGTGGTGGCTTCTGATTGCGTGAAATTTAGATATTGTCTAATGTTGATGAAAATTGGCATGTAGCGGTTTTAAAGGATCACAAATTCAACTATACATTGTATAATGGTTTTGTGCAATATTTATTTATATACCGCAACTAATTATTATGATTTCTTGCACTTTCAATCTCCATGCATAAGGAATACAAATATAGCTGTATAGTGCTACTGTTACATGCGAAATTCCCCTTACATCACTACAAGTACATGCACATACTACTATACTGCTTGCTGCATGCTTATAATATCGCTACTGCTTGCCTTTTGTACTTGTAAATTCCTAGACAGTTCACATGTAATAATTTACATTTATCTCGTCAATGACTCCATCTGCCAAATTCTTGTTTTGTGAATGTTGACTCGAAAGATCAGGTGGGCGTATCATGTACCGTACTCGGTACTCTTGTTTATACTTAAAATAAAAATTATCAAATTGAAATACATTTTAGAAATAAATATTTGCATAATATTGAAAATATATTTTTCTCAGAACCAGTGCCTTCTGTGTCAGATTCTCTGCCATCAGTTTTGCTGGAGCAGAGGAGTACAAGTGAGTACTTTTGAAATATCGATTACAGCAGTGTTTACAATTAGAAATTAATTTAGTTTAAAACAAGAAATGGAGATAGCAATATTCATGCCATGTATATCATACATAAACTTTGAATACGACTTTGCAAACTTTTTTTTTAACTTTTCATGAAATGAAGAACTAAAGCTGAAGAAAGGAAAAAGGGTCAGGTTTAATCTCCCTTCAACTGTTGATCACAAAGGTAAGATGCTGTCCTCTCTGATCAAAAGTGGAAATAGCATGTGCAACAGATATAAATGAAATTGAAATCTTCAGCACATCCTTTGGGTTGTTAAAAGTAATTTATTTCAATCATAATGTGTTTCTTTGTAAATCTATTACTTTCATAAATTGATCACGAATCTGCTAGTAAGTTTTAAAATATAAAATGAAATATCATTTTCATGCCTACAAGTACAATATTTTATCTATATAAAGTACTTGGGTATAATACCCCAGTAGATACAGTTCAGCTAAATAAAAGTTTTATATTGTATTAAGACAAGTCACTGGAGGACCTTATCAACGTGGAGATCATGCAGTCAACATCAGCTCCTCTTAAGAAAAACTGCAGATACCATGTCTGTGGAGAAGTGTTGGGCATGAAGGATTTCCTTACCCTGAAAAATCCCAAGTGGCTTAATGATAAGGTAAAAGGCAGGACATTATATTCAAACAATCGTAGTCTGAGAATTTTCAGTTTAGGGAGCCTCTGACAGGGTAACATGGATACTTGTGACCAATTTCATAATCAATATCAAATGGAAATTAGATCATTTATATCCTATGTGATCAATGACTCTGGAAAATGTACAAAATGGAAGTTTCTGTGTCAGAAATTGAAGTCAATTTAATTCAATATCATTGGTACCCAAAGTTAATTCGTAATAACAAGATAATTATGATAAAGCATAATTCAAATAGTATTGCCAGATTGCCAAATATTGTTCAGTAATGAAATAGTCATACCTGCAAGCCTAAAAATAATTTTTAAAAGTCAAATTGATTAGATATTATGTTCAAATTACACAATTTAGATGCTTCAATTATTTTTGTTGTTAGGTTATCAATGCATATTTGGCAGTTCTTCAGAGGGAACAGAATCTAAAGATCATTGACCATGTTTTTGCCATGCCGTCCTACATGGCAGTGTTATGGGGCCAAGGCAAAATAGACCATTGGCTCTATTCTGATGTAAGTATAAATGGCCCAATAATTTCATTTGAGAATCATTTAAACAAGTTGTTACTTAGTGTAAATTATATCAGTAATGATTTGTAATTCTACTTCTTTGTTTTGTAATATTGTCATAATTAATTTTGACAGTTACATGTACTCTTTACCAAGTGATGGATCCGTAGATATTTCTTTGATTACCTAATGTCCAGGTTTCTCTCTTTGAAAATGTGTTTGAACCTGTACAGAAAAGGCAGATGTAATTATTTTTTTGTTTAGCATACACTGTATGTGTTTTTGATATTGTACGGCTATTTGTTTAAGTATATCCTAACAGAAGTTTTTTGTACATGTTCAAAACATTATTATATCTATGAGCCAAAGCAAAGAGGCTATGGATGGATAAGTTTTGATGAATTAATTGATTAATTCAGGTTAAGTTTGCAATGTACAAATGGATATTCCTGCCAGCAAACGTGAGTGGGAATCACTGGGTCCTCCTTGCAGCCAATGTACCTCAAGCAGCTGTGTCTGTGCTCGACTCCATGGGTGGCAACAATCAGGCACTTATTGAGAACTGGAAGTAAGCATTATAATATTCGAGCACCACGTTAGATAAGCTTTTTAGGTCATCTGACCCGAAGGGTCATGATGACCTATAGTCATCATGCTTCGTCCGTCGTCGTCCGCCGTCAGCCGTCCGCCGTCCGTAAACTTTTCATTCAAACGACTTCTTCTCAATAACCAAAAGGCCCAGAGTGTTGATATTTGGCCCATAGCATGCTGGCATGGAGCCCTACCAAGTTTGTTCAAATTAATGACCTTGACCCACTTTCAAGGTCACAGGGGTGAAATATGTTAAAATCTTTAAACGACTTCTTCTCAATAACCAAAAGGCCCAGAGTGTTGATATTTGG